TTGAAGATAGAACTTACTAACTTTTTTTAAGCAATTTCAAACTGTAAACCCAACATGATAAATAAACCAAAAATATTAAAATCCGCTTTCGAGGCGTACTTAAAACCCCACCGCCCCGATTCCACTAGCTACTCGTTACCTCCCCGGGCTGCTCGCAGCCCGGGGCAACCAAGCGAAAGCTTCTATTCTGAAACGAAGGCGGACTTAAAATCCCATCGCGTCGTGAAATATATGGCCACGACATCGGTTCCCTTTTCATATAATAAATAATATAATGTAATAATGCAAATACAATAAATACTATTTCTTGACATTTAATTGATTAATTAATGATAGTAACACTGATGGAAATATATGTTCGATTGTTTTTTAATATTATACAGTAATTTACTAATAAATAAGAATAAGAGAATAAAAGACAAAACTTATTTTAAGTATCTATACAAAATTTATTTTAAGTTTTGCTTGCGTTTTTCGACTGAATATTTCTTTTTCTATTAAGTGTCAACTGGCAACATTTTTTCTTTGATAAATGGTGTTTTGTGTCCTTTAACACCTTTTATTTGAAGATAGAACTTACTAACTTTTTCTAGGCAATTTTATACTGTAAACCCAACATAACAAGAGGCGGACTTAAAACTCCAATATCTGTATTAAGTAAATATTAACTTACTTTTGAATAAGAATAAGAGAATAAATGACTACAAGCCGATCTATTTCAAATTTTAAATTAAATTATTGAAAAAATTAGTGTATGAAAAACAATGCACGAGCCGAGCGAGCGTAGCGAGCGTGCCGCGGCAGCGGCCGGCGAATAGCGTGTATATATGGACCATTTGTTTAGGTATCTTACCCACACTTTCACATAGGTAAGTATGGAGAAAAAAAAACAATTTTTGATACCAACGATATTTAATACTTAAAATATATTTTTCTATACTTTTAGATTATTGAGAAAACATGTTCTTTTGATATTAAAAATGAAAGTGTTCTACGTAGGTTTGAGTTTGAAATTTGACATTTATTTATTTGGTGTATTATTTAAGGTAACACTGGGGGAAATATCTACTCGATCCTTTTTCATACTAAATATAAACTTACTATTGAATAAGAATAAGAGACTATAATTTATTTAGAGTTTTGCTTGCGTTTTTCGACTGAATATTTCTTTTTCTGTTAAGCGTAAACTGATAACCCTTTTTCTTTGACGTATGGCGCTTAAACACCTTTCATTTGAAGACAGCACTTACTAACATTTTCCAGCCAATTTCAAACTGTAAACCCAACATGATAAAAAACGAAAAATATTAAAATTCGCTTCCGAGGCGGACTTGAAACCTCACCGCCCCGATTCCACTA